AAGGACACGTGAAGATCGTCATTTAAAATTTCGGACTGATCTACATTTTTGATGAGTATAAATGGTTTGCACCATAGTATTTTTGCGTTCGTCAGGTGATCAACGATTAGCGATGCAAGTGGTGCGTTATTTATGCGGGCCACTGTATATGAAATTATGGTGATCGATTACACCACATTCTAATCGACTTACCAGCTCATTCACGATCGGTTTCTCTTCACGTGATTTTCCGATCCGATTTTCCCTGTCCACAAAACATTTTACACTAATTTAAAGGTTAGGGTTAGAGTTGGAGTAAGGTTATATATGTAAAATTGTTTTCAGTCATCTATTTCCCGTATTTTTTGCATTCTTCATTTTCTTGTGGCGGATTTGTTTTTCCGGGTTGATCAAAAATTTGCGCATCCTCACTGGTTTCGAGATCGTCAGGGATCGGAAAAATCACGTGAAAGGAAAATCGATCGTGGGTGAGCTGGAGTAGTTAATCGAGTTAATCGCGTCTGCAAAGTTAAATAACAAATGTTTTTATAGCCTTAAATAATTCCTACCTTGTTTCATTGTCATTTTTCCTCTATTTTATATGTGCGTTAATAATTCCTACCTTGTTTCCTTGTCATTTTCTCTATTTTATACTTTGCTTCCCTGTTATTTTTTTATTTCTCTATGTTACCAGTAAACTTCGACATGTCGGTTATTGGGATAGATACGTGGGATCGGTTTTTTTTTGAAAAAACTCCCGATGCGTCAAAGCAGATATCTCGTAGTGCCTTGGCAATTAAGCTAGAAATTTTAACTAAGAACTTAAAACCGGAGACGAGGGAAGGTGAGAAAGTATCAGCATTAAGGCAATTAGAGGTTAGTGTTTTTACGTTCTTAGGAATGTGGAAATGTTAACGAGATTAGTGAATGTGCTGTTTTCTGCGGTTACACGGTCTTTCCCCGCTCATTTTGCCAAGCTCGTTCCCTTGGCTGTGGTTTCGCTAAGGGACAGTGGGAATCTTATTAATCCATTCATACGCGTCACTAATTAGATGACGAGGCATTTGGCTACCTTAAGAGTGCCTTATCTCACAGCCACTGTGGCGTGCACATCTTGCTATTGGTGATTCTGTAACGGGAATCGGCTATGTACCTTCCTTATGATGAAGGATCAGCGCCTGCATAAAAAAGAATAACGAAAAGGAAAATTTACCCTTTACTTCTGCCAAAAGAAGTAATGTCGATGAAAAGGATAGTCCAAAGAAGAGGCTTAAGCCCAATAATGAAGCTTCTGCTGGTGAGTTATTGTTTCTTTTCCTGTATTTGTTAATAATATCGAATATTCCAATTTCTTGCAATAATCTCATTCCTAATTTGTGCTTTTTTGGTTCTTCGCAATTTTCAGAGGTTTCTTTGACAACAATTGATTGTAATACGTTACCGAATCTGGTCTACCTTCAGTTAGGACATAATCAATCGAGTTCAAAGTACCCTAGCCGTGGCAGTGTTGGACAGTGACCGCAAAATGACCTCAAAGTGACCTAAATGACCTTATTTTAAAATTTAGTGGTCAGTGACCAGAAGTTACTTGTCATAGCAAATGACCTAATTTTGTCCTTCACTGAGCCATGGCGAAAAAGAGTGTCAATCACGAAGATTCCGATACCATTCGACATCCCCCTTAATTACAATGCACAATAGAGTTTCGGTTAGGGTTATTGCATAGCAAACATAATATATAATAAAATTTCGCATTGAAAACTTTTCGTCAGAACACAAATGATTGTTTCATAAGTAAACTTTCAAAATACAAGCTATTTCAAAATTAAATTACAAAAGTCTTTGATACAAGTCAATTTGTTGCAAGTCATAGAAATCTAATTATTGTGACAGATTAAAATGAAATCAGATTAAAACGAAACAGAGTGGGATGTTTAAATAATCATAGATCAATATATTACATATTTTAATGCTATACTCTATTCTCTGAAATTATTATCCCATAAAAGAGCCAAATTTTATTTTGATTTGATTTAATCAGTGTCACTTGTAAAAACTTATAACCATATTAAGAGAGATATATATAATCTCTGCCGTTCTTCTCATTGTAAACAAAATCTTCACGGAAATCAGAACAATTCTATTTTGAAGTCAATTAGAAAGATATGACTTACCCGGAATTGTCAAAAGGCAAAGATTGTTCAAAAAAAATAACAATTGAAAGTTATCGGGTTCAACATCATGGAAAATCAAAGTATTATATTCAATGATCATTGTACTTCCAAGAAGACTTTTGATTACCGTAAACTTCCGGATATAAGCAACCCTCTCAAAATTCGGAATTATTAGCAATTTCATATATTGATAGAGAATCAGTATTGTTGGAACACGATTATAATCATCGTTAAAATGCTCCACGTATACGCAACCCCATCAAAATCACGTCCGAAATTTGTTGCTTATATCGGAAATTGAGATTTATATCCGGTGTTTAAAATTGACCTGCGCAATTTACACACCGCAGATAAGAAAATTTATATATATTATATTGTATTGAGATTATATCATGCGCATATTGAGAAATTTTGCGCAGATAGATTACTTTGCAGATTAATTTGTAAACAGGCATTGATGCATTAGAGAATTTGCTATTTTGTGAATTTCCTTCAAATCCATTATGGATCTAAAACGTTTAAAAACATTAGCAGACCAATAAGATTCTTGATAATTGTGGGCAGGCATTAATAATAATGTCAAGTGTTGTATATATTACATAGATGGATTTTCCTATTTCTCGATTATTTTCTTAGAATCTTAGAGAGACCTTGAAAGTGGAGTATGAGGATCTTTTATGAGCTGAGAATGTAATCAAAATCCAAGAACTTTCGAAAGGCTGTCGATTGTAACTATAATTGTCTAGAATATCTGAGACTGAGTACAAGCATTCTCTGTGTAGATATAACAAAAAGCAATGGATCAAATTGAAGGTCCAATTTATTTGTAAATAGCAAACTTTGACAATGGTTGCATATTTTATTAAGTAAGTCGGAGTCATATAACTTGAGGATAATCACCGTTTCTATCTAGATAAATGTTATTTGTAATTTGCAGTAATTAATAATATCTAAAAGCATAAGCACAATACAAAGGATGCTATGGTAGCTTGCTCTCGTTACCCAATTGTTTGATGCAGGCACAAATTTTACACTCACATGTACTTGCTCGATTTTGGCACGTTTTACAGAATTAGAGTGGTCGCCGAGTTAGGGTGAGCGTGGGTTTGAAAGGTAATAAATTGATTGCGGCCTTTCTTTACCAATAAACAATCTTGAAAATAAGAACGTTCTAGAATAAAAGACTATTTATAGTAAAAATAATACAAATCAACGGATGGATATTTACTATAAACAAATCTTTATTTTCATTGGCTAAAATTGACAATCAATTACTATATATGGGTAATGCTTACCTATATTTGGAAATTGATATCCATTATTAGTCGAAAGATGTCGGTTTTTTAAATGTTTAATCTCGGTTATTATCACAATAATAACGGTAAGCACTAATTGTTGATAATTCTTGATGATGATATCATGCCAAAATTAATGTTTCATAGAAATATGATGCAAAGGGTATACATATAAAGAAAAGACTATTTCTGAATTGATAATATTAATATGTACACGTACATGTTCATCATAATGCGCTTTCTTCTAGCTCATTCATCCATCAATCAAAAACATTCATCATCACTGGTATGTTAGAAAAATCGTACCCTTTAAAATCAGACCCCCTAAATTGACCTCAAAAAACCACCTATTTTAGTGATCCTCTTGAAACCTTCCACAAGCTCATTTCCCGTTTGTCTCTGTTGCTTGCCTTTCACTAGATAATATTAACCAACCAAAAAAAAGATAAAGTCTCGCCTTCTCGGCTCATCTCTTTAGCAAAACACACACCTACTTTCAGACATAACCTTTACGTTACTCTATTTTTTAATAAGATGGCACTTAAAAGGATCAATAAGGTATGCCTATTAGGGTAGAGTTGTGTGTTTGATTTACTTTCGAGACATAACTATGAGGTGGTGAAAGTTCATTTCTTGATTAGATGAGTTAATAAAGAGATAATTGTCAAAGATTTTTGTCTATTTTTTAGGCATATATTTTTTACATGCTGTTTTTGTTTCCTGTACTCATTTGGTTGAGCTATCTAATAGCTGCACGAAACTCGCAAAAATGTTGACTTTATTTTTCAAAAAAGTCATCCGATCGCTTTTGCTTCTATTTGTAAAATATCCGAGACTCGAATATAATTATCACCATTATATTAAATTTCGAAAATTATTGTACATATTGAAGCATCGTGCAATATTCTCATAGTTTTGCCATTCTCAATCATTAGATCTCTTATTTTTTTTTTGCTGCAAACCCTTTTTAATTTCATTTTCTTTAATTTCTTTATCATTGATAGGAATTGCGTGACTTAGGTCACGACCCACCTTCTTCCTGTAGCGCCGGACCTATCGGCGATGATCTTTTTCACTGGCAGGCTACTATTATGGGACCGGTATGCTTCATTATTGCCTGTTAAATTGATTAAAGTTAATTTTCTTACTATTTACAATAAATGATCTGTGTTTTTTCTTTGGATCTTCCCTATTAATAATTAATAGGCTGACTCTCCATATTCTGGTGGTGTATTCTTCCTTGCAATTCACTTCCCTACAGATTATCCGTTTAAACCGCCAAAGGTATTAATTATTACTTTCATTCATCACTTCTTTGGATATTTTAGTAATAGTAATAGTAGTAGTAGTAATAGTTGTAGTAGTACTAGTAGTTGTAGTAGTAGCAATAGTATTCTTATGATTTATTTTACGAATATTTGTGATCATTTTTTATTATTAATAATCAAGGTAAATTTTACAACGAGAATTTATCATCCGAATATCAACAGTAATGGTAGTATATGCTTAGATATTCTAAGGGATCAATGGTCTCCAGCTCTTACCATTTCGAAAGGTATTTTCCATGATACAATTAATAAGAAGATCGATTTTTTAGAAACGATAATTTTATCTAAAATTTTTTCCTCAATAGTGCTTTTGTCTATCTGCTCTATGTTGACTGACCCTAATCCAGGTACGTTCAAATACGTGTGACCACGGTTTATTAAAAGGACCTTCGATTATTTACTTTATTAGAACATCCTTACACACGTATTCAAATATCATATTTAGATGATCCACTTGTACCTGAAATTGCCCATGTTTATAAAACTGACCGTTCTCGCTACGAAGCGACTGCTCGTGAATGGACACGCAAATATGCTAGTAAGTAGACTAATAATATACTATACAATATAATTATAAAGTGAAACTGGGGGCGAGGTAGTATTCATAATTTTTTGTGCAAAGTTATTCTGACTTCTATTCTCATCACTACTTACCAGTGTAACGGAATGAATATGTTAGAAGAACAAAGATGTGAAGATAGAAATACTAATAATAAAAAAACGGCACAGAAATCATAATTGGGGATTAGCTTTTCATTATCATCAACATCATATTTCTTATTCTATATAAACTGTGTTTCATTATTTTTAATATATGTGCGAATTTGTGTAAAAACTACAACAACAACATCTTTTATCAGAGCTCTTTTGAGATCTGAGCCGAGATTTTCTTCATTCCTTTGTTAGAGTGTTTATATGTGGGTGTGGGTGACTCCGAGCATATTTGATTTCTCTTCCCCTTCGTATGTGTCTGTGCTGCTTGCCTTTTGCTGCACTTTTTCTCTTTGGCATTATTATTACTATTTTTATATGTTGCTAGGAAGTTTATTTTTTTTCGATTGAAGGCTTTTTCTATAGATGAATCTTTAATATTTTTTCCCCAAAAATATACTTATTTTGCATAATAATCATCAGGGATCTACGTGAATCGGGGGAGTGTGTCGAAGGTAGAATTCTAAACCTAATTTACATAATCGTGCATATTTTATTGAAGACAAGCATTAAAAAGAACTCTTAGATAGCATCATAATAAGCAAGCAATAATCTGTGTAATCAAAATATGGTTTGACGAGCTTGTTTTTGGCCCTGAAAGCGAACAAACGTGATAATCACGTGCCAGTATGCCTGAAGAAACATCGTTATTTGAAACGAGATTTTCCATTCAAGTTTAATAGTGATCTTCCATCGCTATTGTGTAGTATATGTGTGATATGTATAAAAGTGCTCTACTTTATTTGCAAATGTTTATGGATAATAACAATAATAATAGAAATATAGCTACATACAATTAAATCAATCGATAATATTGTTACTATTATTGGTGGAAATGTTCTGGTTTCAAAATTCTGTATGTTGATGAATAAAGTAGGAGTATATAGATTACTATAAACAAATGTATTGTTACCAAAATTTCCAAGATTGGTGGTTATTTTTTGGTGTTATGCAGAAAACCCGCACGAGGAATTTGGTGAATCAGTTGATTTGATCGTATGTAGTATAATCGCCAAACACAGCTAAATTTACTTTAAATAAAGGTGTCAAGTGGATGCAGACGGAAATGTAAGGAAAGTGTGAGGTGGATTAAATTCCGTTTCGAGGGAAAAGCGAGTGAATAAAGGAGTGTGAGAAAGTGATAGGATGAAGGCATCATAGTAGTGCCAAGGAGGAAAAATTCGCAAAAGATGAAACTGAGAAAGAGAAGGGAGCCGATTTCGATCGACGTAAAGAAACAGAATAAAGAGTTAGACTCGATGTGATTTAGTCACTTATCAGTTCTTTTTTTCTCTTCGTGGCAGAATTTCGATTTAGCGATAAGTTAGGATAAGGCCATAATGTAGCCAAAGAAAGAGAGGATGAATGTCGTGAGAAAATGCATTTTTTTAGTTATTTTAAACAATAATTTAAATGAAAGAATGTGAATTCGAATATAAGCGACATATATTAAGACGCCATAATTTTTTTAAAAAGAAAGGAATGAAGAAAGTGGGAAACGTGAATTTAGAAATATTCACAAGTTGAGAGTGGCTTTAATAAATAAAGGTTCGGAACTATTGAGACGCAGCATTTGATTCTGACATCTCTTCTTTTGGAAGGTCATCATTATGTTTAATGGTTTTCACCATAAAGTCCAAAAAACGTTCACCGTAGAATATGGGATTAACAGCTGATATGTTATGCTATGTGGATAGATAAACCAATGTTTAATACGATTTCGCAGTAAAAAATATGCCGAGCATGACTTACCTTATCATGGCTTAACGATTTCCAGGCATGTTCAACCTTCTTGGCAGTATTATAGGGCGTCAAAATGTCAATTACACCCAAGTAGTATATGTAATTTGTCCTATAATTAGACTCGTCGGTTGCAGCGAATCCACCATCATCTGTATAAAATACACAATGACGCTGCCGCTGCCGGCTTGTACGTCAATTTAGAATATTAGGGTTAAAATTAGATGAGCCCATATATTGATAAAACAGGTCTCCCCCTATATATATATATATATATAAGCTTACTCGGTAAAAGCGTCAAGTATTAGTTTTGTAGATGATAAATTAAGCGGGTCAGTTGACACAACTGCTTTCCGTAAAGCCGAAACTTTGCTTTCCCTTTTATGGTGGGAAGGAGCACGCTCCAATTTTTTGGTGTCGGGCTAAATGTATTAGGAAATAAAAGGGTTAAGGTTGAAAGAAAACGATGAATTTGAATAACAGCCAAATGAGAAATTACCTCGAAGACGGTCAAGATACCCTCTCGAATATTATCTTTATTACCACGTGACATATCATGCAAACCAACTAGAAGACTATAATCCATAATATTCATTCGTTTAAGCAGCTAAAAAGTGAACAAAGATTGTATATGACATTTATGTTTGATTGGTGATTCCGAAAATCAAAATTATCAAATATACCTCGACATCTTTTTCAAGTTGCTCAACAAACAGCTTTCTTTTTATGGGACCTAATTCCAAACGACGATTTCTCTTAGTCCAGTTAAGATCTTTGAGAACAGCACCTTTCGACTGCTCATCTGCTTTGGTGTATTCACGACCAACTGTAGAACCCTAAAAGAAAAAAATTATATATATATAAGAACTGATCTTGATTTTGGAAAGTGGACACGAAAAACATCTAATTAATTAAATACCTTCAAATCATAAATCTCGTGGATATCTCTATGCGGAGGGAAGAGATTATTCATAACCACAAAGTGAATTTTGCTGCCACGAGGCAACTTCACTCTGTGCAGCCCATAAAATCGGGACAAGAGCGTATTAGGGTTTTCTTTAATATGCTACAATTATATCAAAAGTTAGAAAGACCTTATAGAACGAACAAAATAAAATAAACTCAAATAAATAAAATATACCATATAATATTCTTTCAGAATTTTACGCAAGAATTTGTGTTCTGTATGATGTATAGTTTTGATAATGAAACGATAATCCCTGGAAAAGTAGAAGAAGCTTCCACTTTTGCCAGGTGAGTTTAACTCAGACAAAATGTATTTACTAGTTAAGGAAACCAAGTAATCAGCGGGATCGATGTAAAATTGATCACGTAAATGACGAAAAACCCAAGGTGCGTAATCCTTGAATTTAAAATCATATTTGGCGGAGGGGGTAAGCTCATTACCGGTACTATCAGAGTTAAAGCATTATAAGCAAATATTCATCAATATAAGCATGGATCAAGCGCATATAGTAGTATCAATGCTCAATTGACGATACATACATATCAAAGGCTAACTTATGAGCAGCTTTAAAATCTGCATCGGTCAGTTCTCGAGGAAATTTTGCGCTACATCGAGACACCTAAAATTGAAATTATATAACAAACTAATATATGATGCATATTCATCAAAATAAATTCAAAAGAAACATACACCAACTCGAATTCCCGTTAACATATTATACATAAGCACATAATTCACATGATCTTCCCCTATTCGAGTGCCTATAACAGGTTCTTCATCTTCATTATCCTTATTATCCTTTTGTCTCTTTTTTGTCAAACGTCTCTTCCTTAAAGCTTCAGGAGACTTTTGTGCCGCATCATCTAATTCACGAGAATGCGTCAAATCTGCGCTATAAGTATTACGTCGTCGCATTTTACGTCTTTTAATATCTTCAGCTTGATCATCAATATCAGACGCGATACCCGAGGATAAGACTTTTTTGCCTTTACCAGCAGTAGTAGCAGAACGTTGAGGAGAAAGCTGTATTGCTGGCTCTTGCATTGGTATTGCAGATAAACTACTTGGCCTTTTTTTCGGAGGCTCAGTGTAACTTCGTGTTATGGATCTATGCGTATCTTGAGAATTATTACTGGTTGTCGGAGAATTCGGCGATCCATTCGTAATATTGTTGTCTGTAACTTGACGATTATTCTCATCTGCAGAATCTTTAGTAACAATATTTGCTGGAAAACTCACTGATTTTTTATCGGTATCAGGTGAAGAAGGCTGCTGATCTTGAGATGTGGTAATTATAATATTCGACACGTTGGTATTAATATTATATAGCATATGATCGTTAGTTGTGGTTTTTTTTGTTGTGATTATCGAAGCAGCAGTTTGTCCATTTATCCCAAAATTTTCATTAAAATTTTGGGATATCTCAGTTGATGTGTTTATTGTTTGTTGTGGTTGTTGTTGGTTTATTTGTCCATTGACATCAATGTTATTTTGATTAATTATAGTGGTGGAAGTAGAAATACTATGCTTGAGATCACCGTCGACTGTATTGCCGAGTGATGGTGATTGCATTCCAATAAAAGACGCAGTCATTTTGATAGTACTAGTAACAGCAGCTGAACCATTATTCTTCTTAATAAGGGGTTCAACGACGTTACTAGGTGGTGGACTAAGTCGTTTTTCCGGAGTACTATCAGTGCCAGCACCTGCAGCATGCACACACAGAAATTCTTTTTAGTTTATCTGCAAGAAAACTTCTCACACACGTGGGGACGCGAGTTTTCACGAAACAAATCATTACAATATAAAAGAAGGGAATCACCAACCAAGTTTAGAAAGCTTTTGCGCAGTTTTGAGTTCACTCACAGCTGACGCGGAAGATAACATCATTATTTTCAATAGAATCTAACTGTTGTTTATTTCTTACACGACAAAACTTTATGTCGTAGAGATTTTATATATAGGTGTGTGTATATCGCCAAGTGAAGATTTTTATACTATTATTAGTGTATGTGGTTTGGTTCGAAAGTGGTTATAATAAAGATCCTCCACAGATGGAAAGGGAATATTTAATATAACTAATAGAATAGAAAAGCCGGGCAGAACATAGACAGACACCACCATACAAACAAACAACAATAATAATAATAGTAAGTCTAAAAAGGGAATAATAGATAGAAAAAATACCTTTTCTTCCCACAAAGCTCACGCGCGCTCAAAAAAAGTTCAAGGGGGAGGAGGGGGGTTCAACAGAGTGAGAGTCCCGAAATAATAAATTACCGAGACCGAGTACACACTTTTTTAATGTAGAAAGACGAAATCAGAAAAAATTTAAAATAAAGAAGGTTATTTTATCGAAAACGACTTATAATAAAAGGCTATTTCATATATACGAATCAGATGTGTAGTATCTTTTTTAACCACCTATGTGTTTCAATTTGTCATTTTTGTCATGTCTACCAATCATCAATCATCGGAATAAAACAATGATACAATAATAATAACGAATTTTTATTTTTAGTGTACCTTTTTCTAAAAATAGAATTCTGTTGATTGATCACTAAAGATCAAGTGATTATTATGGAATTTCTAAATCGGAACCTCACACAAATTGAACAAGTAATCAAGAGCAAGAATTGAAGTAAACAATGACAGACCCAATACTGACAGACCCAACTTTTGAAAATAATTTTTATGATTTTCTCGACCAACCTCCCGTTAATACTATTTCAGACACCTTGACAAACGTTGACGTGTCAAATCCTTTTCATGATGCTATATCACCTCTGAGACCTGCTAGTTCAGCTTCCAATTATCAAGAGAATTCTGAAAATGGTCAATACAATACCACCCCCAATTTCAGTCACCAAAAGAAGGCTAGTATACCGAATCCTTTAGAACACATTTTAGACGAGGATTCAAGTTCAAGTACGACGCCAACTATTATTGTGCAACGAGATGGGCTCGGCAGTAGTGCTGCTTCAGTTTCAGCTTCTTCGAGAAGTCTGTACGAACATAGAGATCTAGATGTCGATGTTGCTTCAGTTACTGCTATATCTATTCCGTATGATAGTAGGTCTTCTGAAAGTGACGACGAGGAAAGCAGTAGTTATGACGAAGAGAATTATAATGGAGGTGCCCCAACTGGGCACCCTAATTTTGCAATGCTTCACGTAAAAATTTTAGATTCTTTATGGAGAATATTTTATCTTCAGAGTAAAAATACGATAATTAATTTGTAGCAATCGGAAAATCAATATCGTGATCAAGTTCCTTTACCAAAATTTGAAATAGCAGTAGAAGATCCCCAGCAAATTGGAGATACGTTTACTGGATATATTCTGTATAACGTCCGAACGAGGGTACGTTTATTTAAGGCTTGGTTAATGATACACATAACAAAAACCACAAATATTTTATTAATATACATATACAAAATAGACGACGTCGACAAAATTCAAAAGCCAAGATTTTACTGTTCGTAGAAGATATCGTGACTTTCTATGGCTATATAATCAATTGACATTGAACAAACCAGGAGTAATTGTGCCGCCTGTTCCAGACAAACATATTTACGGTTAGGACACAAATCTGTGATTGCTTTGTGATTATTTTCAATCTTTCGCTGTATTTTATTAAATAATCAAATTTAAAATAGTGCTTGCGGCAGCCCGCTTTCAACACGAATTTGTTGAAAACAGACGTCAAGCCCTCGAAAAATGTTTAAATAAAATAACCTCGCATCCAGAACTTCAGGATGATTCGGATTTACAGTTATTCCTAGAGTCTGATACTTTTACAACTGATGTTTGTTTATTTATTACATTAATTCATGATTTCTCTTTAAAGTTTTATCTATTAATATACTTGAATTGCAGTTGAAAAGAAACGAGTCCAAAGGTGTTTTAAGATCGCTGAGCGACGCAATGTCAAATGCTACTACTTTTAATAAATTTACAGAAACTGATGAGGTAAAATAATCTTTCAATACCGCTATCAATATCATTATTGAAATTACGTGAGTTTACGGTGCTTTTTTTGCATTTGAAATTAGTGGTTTGAGAATCGTCGTAATCAATTAGATATTCTGGAGTCACAACTGAAAGCTTTATTGAAGTCAGTTGAGGCTGTAGTAAAACAACGGAAAGGTTTTTCATTTTTTATTTCTCTGGATTTCTATTATCCTATTTGATTATAAACACGTATTTATTATGATACTCAGACCTTGGTGGTGCAACTAAAGAATTCGGTGAGAGTATGATGACTCTTGCATGTGCCGAATATGAAAAGAATGAAAATGTTGCTAGAAATTTAACTGTCCTTGGAAATCTCCAGCTCAAAATAAGAGAACTTCACGAGATTCAGGTAATTATAAATGATTTATGCATACATCTATTATGGTTGTAAAGAGATTATAATTAAAAAAAGATTCGTACTAACAAATTAGGCTCAGAGAGATGTTGTCGCACTTGAAAATACCGTCGAAGAGTATATACGGTTAATTGGCTCTATTAAAGTAATTTGCGATTTAGGTGATGTTTGCGATTATTACGAATTTCGATTAATATATTTAATATGCAGGTCGCGTTTAGTTCACGTGCAAAATGCTATCAAACATGGCAAAATGTACTTTATGAATTACAAAAAAAGAAGATGACATATGATCGATTCAAATCGCAGGGTAGACTTCGTCATGAGAGATTATCCTTGATGATAGCTGATATTTCTGAGGTATTATATTCTAACAATTAATGAATTATGAAAAGTTTGCGTTCATCATCATGATGTCCTTTTTTTATTAGAATGAACGTAAAAGCGAAGATTGCAGACACGAGTTTGAACGCGTCACCAAGCTGATCAAAGCGGAAATTGATCGTTTTGATAAGGAGAAGGTTGAAGATTTCAAAAATTCTCTTGAAAATTTTTTGGAATCGATGGTGCAAACCCAAAAACAGGTAAAAATTCATTATGATTTTTAAGGGCTATTTTTATTTGTGAGAGCTTTTGCAATTATTAAATAATCACACCACTTCCATTGTTAGATTATTGCGCTTTGGGAATCATATTTTAAGGAAATTGAGGTGGATAAGAGATCATCGTCAGAACAAATCGCTGTGTCTACAAATTAAAGAGTATGTAATTACAAATATGCCGTTTCTTTTTTGTACAATATATTAATAGATAGATAAGTATTCAGTAAAATTTTTTATCGTTGTGAATTTTTGGAATTCACAATAACAAAAATAGCCAATCTTTAACATATGTCGAATGTCACAAAATATATAGTACAAATGTCAACTTGATCCATTTTTCTTTCTTTCTGTGAAATCTAATTTAACTATCGCTACCAAATTTTCTCATTTTTCTAAAAGGGTTTATTGCATTAGCACCCTCTACATTTCGCGGTTTACTAATTCTTTGTTCAGATGATTTGATAAAATTTTTCTTGGGCTTTTTTTGTTGTTGCTTATCGATATTTCTATGATTTGCCTCGCGACGCTTTTTCCGACCAATATCTTCAATGCCGTGATATTCAACATTTGCATCTATATCGTCACTATTGATCAATTTATTTTTCGACTCTCGAGTTCCACTTGAGCCTCCAGTTTCAGACGAAATCTTTTTGTTTTTTTCGTGCAGTTTACGCTATTACGGGTTATAATTAATCTTATTTATAAATCAAATATGTAAGGCAGGATTCTATAAACCTAAAAACCTAAAACATACCCGCTCCTCTTCTAATTTTTTGTTTTTTTCCTCGATCTTTTTACGACGAAATTCACTTTTATTTCCTCCACCACCAGATGTCAATTCCACTCTGATCTAACAAAAACTTTTAGTGTAAATCCACAATATTATAAAAGATATCAAAAGAACTAATAGATAATTGATTACCTGTTTATTTTTGAAGACGGTATTATGAAAACCAAGTGCATATTCCATCGTGATAGAGTCTTCGAATTCAACAAAGGCGAATCCTTTTGGCTTCTCTGTCATCTTGTCGGTAATAAGACGTATTGAAATTGGAGTCGCACCATTAGTTTCAAAGTGTTTGTTAATTTCTTCTTTGGTTGCAGAGTACGGCAAATTTGCTAATTATATATCAATATTTCGTCGTTTTTTTATTGAAATTGGTGTACTCTCATACTTTCGAAACTTGTATGCTTGCGCACTCACCTACAAAAACAATGTACCGAGATTTCTTTTCCGTATTTTTATTAATTCGCTTAGTGTTTTGATTAGTCTCTTCTTTCTCAAATTGACTTCCATTATTATAGTCGGTAGTATCATCTTTTGTCGCGAATTTTTCAAGTTTTACCAGGTTTTTATCGTTGCTATTATTCCTTTCTTTACTTTTTGTCGGCGTATCGGATGCTTGAGCCTCATCTTTGTTTTGACTATGGGCTATCAATGAATTTTGTTCGCTATTATCAAGTTTTGCTTTTTTCTTGTCACGAAAAGCATTCGTTTTCTTTTGACGTTTTGTGAGCTTTTTGGTGGGTGTAATATTAGGATCGCTCATTTTTAAATTTTTCTTTGGCATGCAAATGCAGATAATCGTCCATTTCTGCAATACGATTGGTGGTGGGATAATATAGAAAAAAAATCTCGTCACACTCGTTTATTAAAAAAAAAGATCACAATCAATCCCTGCGTAAAGCGCCTGCTATGTATTAAGTTGAAGGTCGGGAAAAAACTGAGGTTATTCATCTGAATAAGCAGAAAAGTTACTATCACTCGTTGAGAGTCCGTTTGCGTTCATTCACTTATCAAGATTTACTATATACATCTATATCAACTAATTTCAAAGACCAAATTAATGATGCCTCCTCTGCATATTTACTGCAATACAACAACTACTTATTACTCTAATCTTTAATTTATCTTTTACTTTGCTGCTGTTGTGGTTAACGTTAAGCATGACTGTAAGCTTCATTGTTGATATTCACAGTATTGTTATTTTCGAGGATGCGAATGTTATTGCCATTTAACATATTCAATATGTTTTAAAGCCCGATAAACATGCGCTCCACCAAAACAGAGCGCTAGCATCATCAGCAATACAAATGCTTCGATAACCATCAACTATATAAATCAAAGAAAAATATCGTTAAAATAACAAAGTAAAATTGTTTAAAGAGTTCAATATAAACAACAAACCTGAATATATAATCGATGTAAATCAGATTTCAATATATTAATATGTTGGTTATTATGTCGCACGTCATTCTCAATACGTTTTATTGCATCGCGTGTTTGTTCTTGGGCTTTTGTCTATAAGAAGTTAATAATTCCCTTTTAACTTGCTTTGAATCAATCAAAAACTTTTTGACAACTTACCAACATTTCCACAGTTTGATTTAATCCCCAGATCATTTGCTGCCATTTAGTTTCCGATTCTTGATAACGTTTCCAAATATTCTCCAACAGATTACTTTGTTCCTCCAAGTACCGTCGAAAGAATGTGGCATTCGCTTCTAAATTCGATATCTTGTTTTGAATCTTCTGATAGATACTCAGTGTTCCTGATCCGATGTAAGATGGTGGTGATGTATTATTCGTTGTTTTGGCAGTGGCAGTAGTGATGGTTGTAGTTGTAGTTGGCTTGGTTGAATTTGATGAAGTTTGATTGTTTGATGATGAACTATTTTCGTTTTTAGAAGTTGAATCAGTGATCTCTTCATCATACAAAGGAGAGGGTATTCGAGGAGATTGATCTATTAGACAAATGTTCATTATTCTATCTAATTGTGACTCATGATGTTGCTGTTCTGGTTTTTGGTTTTTTGGTTTATTTTGTTGTATTTTTTTATAATGAGGCGCCAGCGTGAATTTATACTCGAAAGTATGTGGAATAGGACAAGTTCCGCTTATTTCCCAAGGATAATACCCAAAGAGATCTGTATCCACCATATTATCATCTCCAGGTATATCTAAATTGTCTTGATTTGTATCTTTGTTATTGCCGTTATTATTCTCACCAGAGAAAGAGTATCTACGTAATCTATCAATCATATTATTATTCATTATATCGTCGTTATTGTTCAAGAAATTCGAGCCAGATCCATCAATACCGTCACCATTAATAACAGTATTATGATTGTTACCATTCACGTCGTTATTAGTATCAAAATCACCAACAAAACTTTCATCACTAAGCATCCGGTTATTTTCCTCGCGATTTTTATACTCCTCGATCATTGTAGTACCATGAACTCTCAGTAAACTAACAGGACAGTAAACTTGATTCCCATAATGTGTCAAAAAATCGATTCTTAAATATCTTGCCCATATTACCGGGTCACGTACTTCAAATAACTGTAAAATGAATTTTATTTATTTATTTTTTGTAAATAGTTGGTAAATAGAATAGAATAAAAGTAAATGTACTAACTTGCATTTCTCTAGAATTCTTTGCTTTAAATTCACCCAACAAATGCCATCCATTATCATTTTTATTATCGTTAGATGTGGGCGAAGACGGATATCGATTACTAATTGAAACTCTAAATTCCTTAAAAGTCGAAGAAAAAAATTCAAAATTCGCCAATACAAAAGACATTATAAGAATATCTTCACACAATTCCACCACTATATACTTCTGTGCATTGCATTTATTCAACATGTAAAAATCCTTGCTTTCCGATAGAATAGCGTTTGTTCCTTTTGCCTCGGAGTTCGCCTTTAATATTGACGCGGCACAATCAAGTGACGCGTGATTTGTTAATTCGGCAAGTTGTTGTTTCGTCACTAATTTGATTTCGTTATTGTTGTTTTTATTTTTATCGATAGGTTCGGTCGAAGAAAGAGGCGGAGAATTTATATCATCGCTATTATCAATATTTTCGAATACCGATCCGATGTCCCCTTCGTCATCTAATGAATCGATCATTCGATTATTGTTGTTGTTGTTGTTGGTGTTTGTGTGTTGTTTCTTTGCATTTCGAGCTTCGATCTCAATTTCTTCTTGTCCTTCCTTTTTCAATGTATCTTTTCGCCACTCGTCAAATGGCAGTATCGATTGATGATGAATATTTGCATTATTTGAATTCATTGATTTTCTATTTTTATTTTTATTTTTGTCGTTTCTATTACCATTGCTCTTATTTTCTTCTTTGTAATTGTAATGCAGAGAGAAAGAAGCAGCGAAAAAAGACGGAAAATAAAAATATTTATTTTCTTCGCTTTTAGATGTGTCTCTATTTGAATCGATGTTCCTATGTGATGAAACGTTCTTGGAATCTCTAAGTGCAAAACAACTTTGACAATGTGTACTTTTCCATAATAAACTTTCAAATGAATGATTATTTGGGTCGAGACACTCAACTTGTCCTTCGCGTTCTTTTAATCTAATAGAAGGTTGCTGCTTCTGCTCTTTTTTAGACAAAGTAGAGCCGAAAGTTGTAGCGTATTGTGGAGTAAAAAGCGACCGAGGTGAAAATAATAACATTATTAATGGTGTGCATACCAATATCACTATCAAGTTTCCAACTCTCGGCCAATGCATCGTTCTTTATTATTGCTAATATCTTTTACTTTTTACGCGATCATTGTTTATTCTTCAAGATATGAAATCCGCGGATCAGAACCTCTTTCCGGTGTACTATGGTTTATATGGTTTTAAACGACGATTTTCACGTGCCTTTAGTCAGATGCTTTAACTTTATCAACTCATTTTTCAAAAAAACAAAATCTCTTTCAAAAAAAAACAAAATAATAAACTTTTCTTGAATATTTTATTAAATATTTCATATTCAAATATTATTGGATCATAAATATTTTATATCTTATTAAAAGAATTTAATTATATAAAAAAAAATGAACAAACAAATAAGAAGAATAATATATATTATATAATATTAAGTTACTATAAAGCAGTATTATATATTTTGAATATTCAAGCATTTTTTTAATTGTTCAAATATTCAAAATCTTGTACTATTAAAAATAAATAAGTGTTATTTTGATTCTTGATTTGTGAATTAAAAAGAAATTAAATAATTTACAAGTGAAAAAAATAAATTAAAGTATGGATATATATATAATAAATATTATTATATAATTAAATATAATACAAAATTATTAATAATTATAATTGACAATAAAGAGAATATTAATATAAAAAATTGGTATTATAATATTTTTGTATTAGATTATATTTAAAGAAAGAATTTGGATGAATAAATTCATATTTAGGCTGATCTTTATATCTAATTTTCATGCAATAATATAAATTTATATTGTTTTCATGATATTTTTTGTGATTCAGAGGTTTATTTATATTATTTATATTATAACAGATGATTCTTCAGTTACAAAGTTATTACTGATTGCTTGAAAATTCATTTTTAGTTGTGTTTTCATATTATTTTCATTTTCTTTTCTTTTTATTTTATTTTTCAAATTATTGATAATATATTAATTATTTTTTCAATAATTTTTATTATTTATAACTAAACTATACTTCTTATTTTCTTTATTATTTTGTTGTGCATTTCATTTAGTAAAGTATTACAGTATTATTATGAATTTTGGAAATTTTGATGTATTTCAGATATGAATTCAAATATTTTTGTTACTTTTCTTTTATTATTCTGGTTCAGATAAGTTTTACTGTTGATTTGATTGATATTTTTGTTAAGTGTAGTAAAGGTATTTCCCTAAATTTTACATTTTTGTTGGAGAAGTGCTATTTTATTATTTTTTCTTTTCATGCAGTAATTTTTATTATCCCAATAACATTGATGTTATTTGTAACTATTACTTTATAAGTCTAAATTAATATATGATAATTGTGATTATAATGAAAGTTCTTTTGTACTTTATCTTAATATTTATTTTCAAAATTATGTTATTAATATTAATAATAAATTAAGATATTAGATAATGTTATTATTTTGATTAACTTTCAAAATACTCAAAGATATTTATAAAATTTAAGAAATATTTAAAGAAAAACTTTCAATATCTTAATGATAATTCAAAGTATTAATAATACTTTATAACTATTAAATTGAATATAAATAAGTACTAAAAGTACTAATAATAAAATCACTTGAAGATTGATAATGGTTGTGTTCTTTTAAATACAATAATCTGAACTGCTAAAAAAAGTTCTCAAAATCTTGATATCAAAGTTATAAAGATTATAATATTCATATTATTAGTAATATGAGATTGAAAATAAATAATGTATTATTAGTAATACAAAATTGAAGATAAGTTTATGAGCAATGTATTATTAGCAATACAATCTCAAAGACAGATTTATAAATTATAATAATAATTTCTTTATTCATATAATATTCATTAGATTTCATCACAATATATTTAGATAACTTAGTATTAAGTTGATAATTTTTATAGTGCTCCTGATAATTTTGCTTAAGCTACTATAATATTAATTCAAGATCTATATAACACTTATGACAATAGTACTGAAGTGATTATACAAGAAACAAGAATATTTTGTCAAATGGATTTGTAGAGAGGAGTTTGTGCTTGACTATCTACTTTACATAAAGTATAAACTTTGCTTATTTGAATGATTAAAACTATGTGATAACTAGCTATAAGGTAATAATAAAAAATATTACTATCAAAAAACTTGTTCTAATCTAATTCTAATAGCTATGATACATGTTGCTTTTATATATGTTTAAACTATAATTTATTAACTATATGAATTCATGTTCACTAGATCACTTAAATTCTATTGGTCTAATATTCACTTATTCATTCACTTATTTGCTTGTTTATTTATTTGTTTGTTTGTTCACTCACTTGTTCATTTACTCATTCCACATGATTAGATTCTTTCAATAAAATATAAGATAATTATAATCCAATAATATTAAGTATGAATGATTCAGTAAAATATTTAATCAAAGTTTGTTATACAATAAAATTCTTGCTAAAATTTTGCTCTATAAAATTAAAATGTTGAAATATCTTTTCTTTTAATTGATTACTAAATTTTTGACTTATTTTTCTAATTATTTCTGGAATTAAATATTTGTCTATTCTATATATTCAAAGTATATTTTCATAATTTTTAAAATATTGATAAAGTAATAAAGTTAATGTATGTTTTAAAGTAGTGTCTACGATACTGATTTTATTTTTAAATAATTATCTAGATTCAGAATGTTATTTTCTAGATAACTTATAATTACTAGTGAGATTTAACAGTATTCTTCCTTTATAATAAATTGAAGATGTTATATATTTACTATTTTTCAATAATTCTTTATAAATTTTTAATGATTTCTATTATTGATAATTGTGATAATTGTTCTGCTAATTAATTATCTTTAAAAGCATCTTTTATAGTTTTAATTCTAAAGGTATTCAGATTTTATTCATTCTTGTTGAATTTTCTTCATATATTGAAATTTGATAAACTATTTCAATTAAGCTTTCAAATAATTGTTCTAGTATTATATCAATATCTGTTGTCGAGAGCAAATCTGGTATTATTTCTTTTTCAAAGCTGAAGAGATCAAAAGAGTTTATAGTATTTGTTATTTCTGGTTGAGTTTTAATAATATTTATTGAAAATTAGAATTCATTACTACTAATTTCTATTCAAATTTTTGGATATTGTTCTTGTACTTTAAAATATAAATTATTAAATAAGATAAAAATTTCATCTGAAATATTTATAAAAAATATTAAATAAGTAAAAAAAATTATATAACTAAGAAAGTGATAAAAGATAAACTAATAAATTTTTGAAATTTTGATAATTATATATATATTTTTAATTTTTTAAAGATATAAAGTTAAAAATAAATACTAAATTAATAAGATAAAATTTTAAATTTTAAAAGAAGTAAAAATGATCTTCTAAATTATTTTTGGAAAAAATGATATTTTGGCAAATAATTCAGTTTTGCTATGTTATTTATATTTATAAATTATCTATAAATGCTTGTTTTAATTTGTAAAGTTCAAATAATTTCAGAAAACAATTTTAACTACTAATAAAATAAGTTAAAATAATTTCAAATTTAATTTTGGCAAGTTAATTTCAGCAAATTATTTAATTATATGATATCATTTTAGCAATCATCCTTAAAAAAGAGTAATTATTTATTTAAAAAGTTGAGATTATAGAATTCTTTCAATAAATCATATAATTATAGATCTTTAATATTTCTAGATTCATATAAGAAACTAGTCTTTATTCCAAGTTTTCATGCAAGTGTGTTTAGTTTCACAAGTTATTTAATATCTGCTTTTATTTAATAATTTTTTTTGATATATTACTATAAATTGTTTCACAAGTTTAACAGGTATAACTTCGAATTGATCCAGTTCTTCTTTGTATTAATTGTTGTTCAACAGATCTTTTAGAAGTAATTGTATATCTATTATTTAATAATAATCAAGAAATACTAGCAGTATTACTATTTTTACTACTGGTTTGTGACCGAATATTAGAATAAATGTTGTTATCACTTGAAGTTTCTGATAGTTCTCTATAACTAGAAGTGAAATTATATTTTAGAGTATTATTATTGTCATGAGTTTTTCCTTTATTTTTGTTGGTATTAAAAT